TTTACTGCACTAGCTCAAATGGCTTCTTCCTTTTGAGCCTTCTGTTGAGTGTAGAGTTGTCCAGTAATTGTAACGCTTCTTCGTTGACATGGGAGTGGAGTCGACCCTCATGTTTCGCAGCAAACCTCTTTATTTCTTCTTCGATTGTTGGCATCTTCAGGTCTCTATGAAGATAATCGTTTCGGTAGAACCAAGGTGCATCAACAATGCATCTTATTTAATATATTTTTATCTTCTGGTAATCTTGTCATCTGCCATTTCTTTCTTAGTTTTCTTTTTTCTGCTACTAGTTCTCTTATCTCGACAGGATGGTTTTTTCCAGCTGTTAATATTCTTACTTTTGGTGTGTTCCTCCATGCAGCTTGCTGGATTTCAACTATAAACCTTTCCAGTTCTTCATCTAGCTGATTTTTCGTTTTTAGTGTTATGGTCAGTTGAATAGTATTTGTTAAGTACTCTTGAAAACCTTCCCAATTAGTTTTCCGATTTTTTACTAGGGTCGGTTAGGCTTCTCTTTGACAGGGCCGACTAGAGGGTGGGGGGTAGCCGGGACTAATTCCCGGGGCCCGGACTCAAATGAGGGCCCGGCAGCTCTATAAGAGGGGCCTGGCAACTGGATTTTGTTTTGTATGAGAAATTCGACACCAGGCGAGAAGGGGAAGTTTTAGGCTGGGGACCTTTTTTTTGTTTTTAGAAAAAGCAATTCAAGTACAGGAGGAAAAGTTTTTTTTAGAAAATTGAATCCAAGTAGAGGACGAAAAGTTTTTTGGTCACGGGGCCCGATCTAGAGAATTGTCCTGGGGCCCGGCTTGGCTCTCGGCGGCCCTGTTCTTTGAATAACATTATCACTTAGAGTAAGGATTACTGCAGAATGGTCTGAATCCATATCAAAGTTTTCTTTTACTTGTGTATAGTTTGGTTAAATTTTCCTCAGAATAAAAAAATCCAAAAGGTCTGGAATCATATTTGTCACACGGTATATCGAAATTGTGATTTTCGCCTGTAAACAAAATTCCTTTTAAAATAATAATGTAGCAGTTGCATAAGTAAATTAAATATTTTAACCAGAACTTCTTACAAAAGAGTCAAAGAGGATAATAAATCAAACAGTATTTCTAAATCTAAATTGATTTTGGTATTTTTTCATACGTAATAGATATTTATTTAACAAACCAATTCGGTTACTATTTTCTTTTCTAACCGGTGACACAAATTTAAAACCGATTTCAATTCTCAATTTAAAATAATTTGTTTAATATATACCTATTAAGTATACAGTTTCTTGCGGTTTTGTTTTGAAACAAACAATCACTTGTGGTTATACTCAATTTTTCACGATCTATATAAAATCCACATATTTGAAATCAGTAATTGTTCGAAATCATGTAATAAGAACAATGCCATTAAAAAAAAACAACTTTCAATGTAATACGATATTCTGCAGCACGATAATCTTAATAGAGTAATTTTAAGGTCGATTTAATCAAAAAATTGATTAAATTGTGAATTGTGCCTTGACAGATTTTCTAGAAAAAGTGTAATTTTACATAGGTAAATATTTTTTGATATAACCTACTTAAAGCAACAAAGAATTTTGCAGAAAAAAAAAAGAAAACATAATGGCAATAAATATGTGTCACAAGCCATTTTTTAATTCTTAGGTAATTATCAAGGTAATTTCTTACCTAGTGTATAAATTTTCTTACCCAGTAAAATTGATTTGGTCACTAGTGAAATAGATAAGAATCGTTTTTATGTGAATATATGTGAAACTACTGGGTCTTCAACAATATCATCAATATCACAAAACGCAATAAAAGTGTCTGATTTTAGTTCTGACACTTGTGTTAGAAATGTCACCGGCACACAGTGGGGCAAGATTATTAAAATGTGTCGTTAATTCATAATGATATCTTAGAGTGGACATTTCGATATGACGAGACAGGTTTAGCAGAAAAAAAATATACGTATGTTATCAACTTTATTTACATAATAATATATAGGTACCTATAAATAAACATGATATTAATATGTGTATTACACCCTTCAACTACCTTAATCAGTATCCTCATCATACTCAGAATCAATTTGATTATCATCATCCGTGGAATCTTCACTTGGCTGTATTGATGGAGGTATCAGAAGATTTAGAACTTCTTTGGGAAGGGAAGTTAACTTTTTTTTGCAGTTTCCTTTTACTTGTTATCACAGGGTCTGATGACAACAGCAAGAGGTTGAAAATATCAATGTTAGAATTTTCCCGACTGCAATTCCGAGAGTGAAATTTTTGAAGTCCTTGTTCCGGGCTTCTTGGACCTTTTCCGTTAACTGACCTATCGGCAAAAGCGCATTCTTTATTATTTCTGGCCCGTGAATAAAAATTTTGTGAACAGTGGGTGGCATGGCGCATGTCATACCATGGGTACTTTTGCACAAAGTATTTGACAGTGTCAGTGTAACAACCAGTTAGCCTAAAGACCAACGCTCGTCACCAAATGTAACAACCAGTTATGTCTAAAGACCATTTACAACTACTGATAGGTCTTTAGCTACTGTTACTATACTATTAAGGGATAAAGGCAGCGCTTGTCACCAGCCCTAGGGTCCTGGAGTCCTGAAGGAACATCCATTCGCCAGTGGCAAAATAAAATAATAAAAGAAAATAATAAAAATACAAAAAAAACATCCCTTAATAGCATATGTCGAGCGGCTTTGGCAACTGACTTAAGACTCTCAAGTCCTTAAGGGTAGGAACGCCGAGGCTTAACATGCTCGGAATATTTCTTACTGGTTTTTGGAAAGAGGTGAGAATAAAATAGGTTAATAACAATAACATGTATATTTAAATATAAGTAAAAAAATTATTAACAATTTTAATAAATCAAAACAATCTTTATTTTTAAAATAAGATAAGCAAAAATTACTAATCATAATTGTAAAATCTTTATTATGATAAACCATGTTAATAGAATATAATCTATGATAAAACTTTAATAAAATGAAACATTTTACATCACAAAAACTTTTTAGTATAATAAAAAAACTCTTTATATGATAAAACCCTTAAAACTGATAAACATTTAATAAGTAAACTTGGGACGAAAATGAAAGAATTGGCATTTGAAGAAAGACTAATGAACTGTTTTAAAATACATAACCCAAACAAGAGATTTAAACATGTTAAAATAAAAAAGATATTACCTTTGAAACTAAAACACTACACACACACTTTACTATATATAATAAATACTAATAATTACTAAGTTACATTTTTGGGCATAGGTTTGGCCCAACGGCCGCCCCTTGAGTCTCTTTGTGTCAACGATTGACTCTCTATTTATATCAACCTTAACGTGATTATTTTACAAGAAACGACTTATTTACTTTTAATGATTATTTGCACGATTTGTCCTTAAATTTACTAGTACAATGAACTATTTCTAATTGTTTGGTTTTAATAAATATGTTGTGTTAATTTAATAGATTAAAAATATTAGATATTTTTGGGATTTTTGTTAAATTCTTTATATTTTAAAAATAATAATGCCAATTATTACATCAGTTGGATACATGCGGAATTTTTCGACATCAATCTTATAGCTTGATGACGTGGCAATTAATATATTGTGCATTTTCTGTATTAATTGTAAATCCAGGTTTGTGATTTTTGCAGATACAGCGGCATTTTTAAAAAATTGCCTTGCTGTGTCGCAATCATTGGAATTTCCAAATCCTGGTTTGAATTTGTCCACTATCAAGTCTAGACTTTCTGTGAACTCAGTCTGAATTTTTCTCTTGATTTCTTCAACTATTTCTTTATCTGAAACTCCTGCTACGTTTTTCTTTTTTTTTGTCGAGCCTGTTTTTTCTTTATGGGAAGTCTGTATGCCAGAGAGACATTCAAAGAAACGTATCCATCCGTGCAAGACCGAAATGCCGAATCCCAAATTTTCTGTTTTGATAGGCCTAGAAAGCATTTTGGCTATATCATTGAAGTCTTTGATTGTAGCTCCACATATATAGCACTTCTGTGTTGAAGTTGTGTTTGTGAGCGCATTGCACACTTTGCCATCAATCATCGCGAAAATTAAGCTATGATTAATTTTCATACTGTGTCCATCAAGTTGTACGATAGTGGGTTGAAGATTTTTTACTTGTTTGTCTATCCTTTTTCTTTTCTTCGACGGAAACTGTGGTGCTTTCCTTAACAAATTCTATTTTTAAAGGTATGCAATAACTCGTCGAACTTGGTCTAGGATTTTGCCAAATTACCTTCGATCCAGATATCAAACGTACGGGTATAAAGCATGTTATAAAAACAGCTGCATCACTGGCTTCGGAACCATAAAAAGCTTGTTTGTAAGAGCTATGGCCGCTGCTGCCATCAAATCCCCATTTTGAAAATAAACACATATTTTCTAACTCTTCACTGTTCAGTGTATGAAACACTTCTCTCTGAACCAAGGCCAAACGTTTTGTGGTAAGGTCAAGCATTGTCTGCAAATCAACGTGTACAGAGGTTTCGCTACCACTGATTTTATTAGGCTCCGGGTAACATTGTTTTTTGCGGCCTGTACGATTTCATAAGACGGATAGATTTTTGGAGATTTTGATCTCAATATATTGTACTGATGACGAGACAAATCAGCTTCCACTAGGAGTGCTACAGCATCCTCTCCTGACATCACGTATTTGTCTCAAGTGACTGTTGATAGACTTTTAAATATTTACTGGGTTTTGATGGATCAGATAAAATATCTTTAATTAGTTTGGAGGCCGCGCCCTGTCCCGAAGCTTTTAATTTTATTTGTGTGGCATAAACGAGCTCAGGTAGAGGCGTAGATTTTCTCAATTCTTGAGTCCTTTGTCGCTTTATCCTCTCTGGTTTTATTGCTGGACGACAGGGAATGCTTTTTTTACATATAGAAAAGGCTGATGAATGTAGCAACGTGTTATTTTTTTCGCAAAAACCTACTTTCCATGCGGTGCGCAGCTTCCCATCATGACTTATAATCAGCTTTAAAACGATTTGTCGTCTGCGAAATAGCTGTCCGAAAGTCATTGACACATCCCGTCCTTTTTTCAATTTCCTTTTGAAGCAAGTCTATCTGATCTTCAAGTTTCTTATGACCATAGTTCTTCATTATCATAAACATTTCACGTCGTGTCAAAAATAAGGCATCCGAGTCCAAACCTGTGTAAAAAAGTAATAACAATTATTTAATAATAAGAACGATTTATTTCTAGTACAGCGACCTAACTCGTTTATATTGGTATTTATATTAATTCGGGCAAACATGGGCAAAAAAATGAAACACAGTCGTAAACTGTAATAGTTACTAGTGCTAAAAAAATCTGAAAGTAAGCTCGGTCATCCACGGAACATTATAAAGAGTATTTTATGAAAAACTAGTTTAATTTATCGAAATAACCATAATTTTCATTTATTGTTAAAAAATATCGATAAATATTAACTTTAGGTATAGAGAATGCTCAATAAAAATGAAAGGCTTGGGACAGATGATTTTACTGGTGATATAAAATGTCCCATTTAAATAAAACAAGAAAATCAAGGGTCTGAGTATTGAGTCTCCCTGTATACGAATAAACAGATAGTAAAAATATAACTAAAAAAAAGTATAATACATCATATTATAAAATTCGTGTGGGTAAAAATTTTTTTTTTTCTACAGTGTGTAATTGGCTGCTGGACGTTGAATTATGTACGATTCTCTCACAAAAATGTCAATTCCTTGAAAAGTACCCTATATAACATAGACAAACCATATATTAGAAAAATGGAAAAAAGATGAGTAAACAGAATCTAAAATAATATACTGGGGTTATCATTAAAAAAAACATATGTTTGGTTCGTACACGAGCTATGCAACAACCTGTATATCTCCCAATAATATTAAAATGTTAACCTCAAACCTGTCCATAATTTTCTTAATACACTTTTTTAATATCTCTCTCAACAAGGAAGATATCGAACTTTTCCACAAGATTGGTCCATCCTGTATAAGGGAAATCATAGGAACAATTTCATTCTGTACTCTATATATTTTAAATTGAAAACACCTCCAAAATTGAATATTTTACTACACTAGATAGTACTGCAAATTAACTTTGTATATTCAATTATTGATTACAAAAATATATGTCAAAGAAACTTGTTTAACAGATAAATATCCTAGCTTTACACCTGACAAGGCATAAATTACTTAAGTGCAAATAAGTGAATAGGAAATTAAGTAAGAAAGCAATTTTGATATTTGATTTAGATAAAAACAGTTAATTACTTCTTGAAACAACTCTATCAGAAAGTCAAGAAATGCAAACATCACTGCCGGCCATCTAAAGCATTTACGATATTTTATACTTATATCATAAACATCCTGTATGTACAATTAATTAAAAATAGCTCTTATCCATTTAACATAGCAATCACATATTTAAACGTGTATATTGCTTTCATTTGCATAAGTAGGGATATGATAGGACACAATTTAATTACATCTGTTAGAAGTTATGGGTTACACTATTATTTTTAAATAAAAATTCAGTGAATCAACTAACAAACTTTTATTTCTTTATTTTACATACATCGAAGAATTAATATTTTATTTTACTAAACTAATAAACTAAGTTACATTCTGTTCACTATACTTACGCGGGTTTCGGATTAACAAAATTATGCAAATTAGTCTTTGACAGCCAGTTCCATTAAGCCTCTTCCCAAGAAATTAGGTAAAATTGCCCTAATGGTCAGATTTAAATTAAAATAACATTAGGGTAGGTACTAAATTTGTTACAAATATTGCAGTTGAATTGTTTCTTTGCAACTGTTGACATTGTATGTATATTGTAAATTTAGGGGAAATTTTAAAAATGCCTAGACGTGTGTTAGATGTAGATAGTCTAATTTGTAGTGTACATAAGTATTTTACGGATAAAAAAGAAAATGGCGGTCCTTTAAAATCGGTAATGTCGGTACAACAACGCGTATGCGATGCTCTAGGAATTAGTGAAACCAAATTACAAAATCACAATAGTGAACTGCCGAAAGAAGATCACCGCAAAACTCGCCCATCATTGAAAACGAAAGATATTCCAGATGGAAAGAAATTTGAAATTGGTGGTACCATTTATCAAATGAGGGCCAATAAGGAACATGTGACTTTAAATACAATTCTCTCGGAATTACCAGATAGAAAATTTGACGACATTGGCAGAACAAGTCTATGGCAAGTGATACATAACTTGGGTTTCAAATTTCAAAAGGAGGATAACAGAAAGGCCCTTTGTGAAAGAAGTTCTGTCGTGCACAAGAGAATTAACTGTCTAAGAAATATTCTAAATTTAAAGAAGAAGGGGCGAATTTTATATATTTAGACGAAACATGGATATTTTCTAGGGGTGCAATCAAAAGAATATGGCAATATAATAACCAAAGTCCATCAAACATACCGATGGAGAAGGGAAGCGACACATAATTTTACATGTAGGAGGGAAATCGGGTTTTATAGAAGGTACTGATTTTGTAATAGAATGATTGGAATATTACGTAAAAAAAGGGCTGATTGTAACAGTCGAAAAAAATAAGATAAACGTGTCTCAAACGCGCTTACCTTCTGTGCTGCATCATATGGTTCGTCGGATGAAGTAGGTGGTAATATTAGTCCAGTAGCCAAGACCGGGCCCGGTTACACAATTTATATAACAACGTTTATTATACAGGATTTATAATAGCGGATTTAACGGCACATACACACCACAAAGCGTTCGTCGCGGCAATTTCTGTAGTACCCTTCGTCCAACGGCGTTTCACTTGTCTTACAGTCAGACGAAGCGCATGTGTGGGCCAAAGTTTTAAGTAAGCGATTTGAGACAAAGCGCGAATATTTAAATAATAAAATAGGAATTAATTCATTCTGGAACATTTCCTGCCCCGAAAAAATGTAAATAATACATTTTTAAACTGATTAGACAATTCCCCAAAATAAAAACTAAATATTAAAGCAAAAAAAAGGAAAGTTCAAATAATAGAATTAAACCAAAAAACAATTATAAAATACTACAGGTAGCATATAAAAAAAAAAATTAATTATTAGGTAGTGGACACAGTTTTACCAATGGCCGTTTTAAAATAAAATTTTGTGTTTTTACCGTAGCTACTCTGGCTATGTTATCATTACCAAAATGCAGTTGAGTTACACGGCCTAACAACCATTTATTAGGAGGTAAATTATCGGTTTTAACCAAAACTAAAGTACCAAGTTTGGGGGTGTTAGCAGGGTCTAACCATTTGGCTCGCTGCTGTAGGGTATGCAAATATTCTTTATGCCAGCGACGCCAAATATCTTGATGGATGCGCTGTAACAATTGCCACCTAGAAAGGCGATTTAGGGGGACGTGTTCGAAACTGGGAACGGGAAATGCGGTTAAAGGTTCCATGGTCAAGAAATGACCGGGCGTTAAGGCGTTGATATCGTCGACATCATTAGATATGGCAACTAGTGGTCTAGAATTTAATATGGATTCTATAAGTGTCAGAACTGTATAGAATTCCTCAAATGTGAGAATTTGATCACCTACGACGCGGCGAAGGTGAGTTTTAACACTTTTAACGCCAGCTTCGGCTAGACCATTAAAGTGAGGAGCTCCGGCGGGGCTAGGAAACCATTGAATAGTTTCACTTGCGCTGGCCTGTTCCATAAGAGAAAGCAATTCGCGTTTTGCACCCATAAAATTTGTGCCACAATCACTGTATATCTGTGAGACTTTTCCACGCCTTGCAATAAATCTTTGTAGAGCGGCTAAAAATGTTGGTGTAGATAAATCACTGGCAAGTTCCAAATGTACAGCTTTGGTAGCCAAGCAGACAAAAATGCAGAGGTAAGCTTTGCAACTTTTTACTCCTCTGTGACGACTAATAGTTATATTAAATGGGCCTGCGAAATCAACAGCGGAGCGACCGAAAGTTTTTACCTCAGACACTCGAGACAGCGGCAAATTTCCCATTGGGGGTTGATAAGAGGTAGGAGATGTTTTCCAACAGCGTAAACATTTCGAAATCACTGAGTTAATGGCTCGTTTTGAGGATAGAACCCAAAACTGTTGAGCTAGTAAGAAGTGAGTACTTCTAAAGCTAGCATGAAAATACTTTTCATGAATGTGGCGAATGACGAGTGTAGTTAATAGACTTTGTCTAGGTAATAATATGGGGTGCTTAGATGAATAAGATATAGATGCATTATGCAGTCGACCTCCCACTCTAAGAATATTGTTATCATCTAAAAAAACATTCAACTTACGTAGAGGTTTAGAAAAACGTTTGGACTCAATTTCTTCCTGAAAGTGAGTATATTGAGTAGTTTTTACCAAAACAAGAAGGGCCGAATACAATTCGGCGGTGGAAAATATGCCACAATGTTTAGAAAGCGGGTGTTGACAATTGTAGATAAAGCGCAAGATGAAACTTAAAATATTTTGAATAGTAGTCAAAGAAGAATAATTGTCAAGCATAGAAATTACAAAACTCTCATTGTTATGATTGAGTAATGTTGAAAATAATATCATTTTACGTTGTTCTTCTTTGGGAAGCGTAACCTCATTAGCAGAAGATGGGAAGGTAGGCCAAGAACTTTCATCTTCGTAAAGAAATTCAGGACCGGTTAACCAATATTTATAGGTTAAGAAGTGGGAAGGAAGAGCCCCTCGCGAGGCTATATCTGCGGGGTTAATAGCAGTATTCACATACGACCAATTATCAGGAGAGAGATTTTCTTGAATGAAAGATACCCTGTGGGCGACATAAGTTTTCCAGCGATTGGGACATCCCTTTATCCAATGCAGTACGATTTGAGAATCGCACCACGCGCGAATTTTTATAAAGCTAATTTGGTTACAAAAATTCGTTTTAACATAAAGAATTAATTTAGTCAGCAGAACGGCTCCACAAAGCTCTAAGCGAGGGATAGTAAGTTTCTTGGTAGGTGCGACTTTAGATTTGGAACAAATAAATGATACTTGAACGGCATCTGTTTCGTCTTTAATACGAAAATATATTACACAACTATAGCCTCGTTCGCTAGAATCACAAAACCCATGAAGTTCGAATTGACAATAATTAGAATATGAAATTAACGTAGAATATTGACGAGGAATTTTTAAATCGGCAAGCAAAGGTAA